TTGGGTCTGGCAATTTTTGTTCGTTATATCCAGGGTTCGGTATAAATAGGTTCGGTATAAACAGTGTCAACTGTAGTACGAATTTATTTATACTATGTATTAATAGATATCACTACTGCACAGAGATTGTTTGTACGAATTGTAGTCAATAAAAAAGTGACGGCTTTTATTTCCGCTATATTGCATTGCTCCCCATAGATACTCCAGAGCCATCAAGGGGTCTCGTCTTGTACAATGTAATAGAATCTAAGTAGAAAGTTTAGACAATAGAAGAAGGCAAACAAAATACAAAGAAAGCAAGAATATATTACAGTAGAAATGGCAATGAAAGATGTAAGATAAAAAAGGCTTCAATTCAAATAAGATTGACTTTATCAAGATGAAGGAAATGCTGTTTCCATTATGTGAAAGTCAGATTGAATTATTACCCCGCAATCAGTAATATATACTAGTCGAAAACTTAACTAGATTATTGAATGAAATCCGCCATTACGCAGAAGAACTCCCTGATCGAGAGTAAGTTATTGATTGAAGCTCTCTCTAGTGTATATAGTTTTTTTACACAAAAACGACTAAAAGAGAGATTCTACCATTCCCAATTCCATTTCACATACCCGAGTAAGGAAGGAAACTAATCATCAAAAGTCAATGACATCTTATACCTCGTTGTAAGCCTACTCTAATTAAGAATAATTACTCACTTGCCGATGAGTAATATAAATTAAATCCAAAGTAATCTATTTGACTTATCTCTATAATCATAAATATTATTATGCCCACATGTTTACCGATATAGATCAAATGTCACAACAGTGGGCACGGCAGTCTATACCTTCCTTCTCCCATTTGCTAAGTCGTTCCATCCAGTCAACATTATATAATAACATAAACCCTTATTCTACTCTCATTCTTCAACTTTTAACAGCCAAAATACGATTCAACTCGTCACGTCGCTTCTGCTGTATAGTCTCGCATGACCCAATTACAGTAACGTCATTTGTGGACAAACAAGTTGATATTAAAGATGGTGAAGAAATGGCAATAAAGATTAAGATGAACCGTGATGGAAAAGTGAAGAAAATAAAAATGATGATGTCGTTGTTGAATATGAAGACGTTGTTGAAGTCATTGCTACTGATGAAGATGAGTATGAAGATAATGATGTTGATGATGATTGTAATGATGATACTGATGTGGATGATGCTGATGGAGATATTGATGCTGTAGTACTTGTCGTCGTTGATGTTCTTGATTATGTTGCCACTGACGCTGACGCGGGTGCGATGTGTGAGGCAGCTGTATTAACTGGACAATTGATAAATCGCATTTGAACAATGATATCCGATAATGACCGCGACCGACCCAATGTGATTGAGCCTGATTCGTGAACGCAAACATTCGTTATGCCGTTTGATCGTTGTGGAAAGTAGAGTTCGGCTGATGTAGTATGTCGTATGTTCGTGTGAATAGACATTAGGACGTACAAATTGGGAAAAGGAAAAGGAAGGGTATGTGAAGGTAATCCATGTGACACTATCGGTAATATATACCTTGTAACATAGCATGGGATAGGGCTTCACGTGCTGCCACCAATCTATCTTGACCCCATCCTATAAAAATGG